CACGATGCAACACTGTTGCTATACCATTGACTATCTTCCCTGTGCTGCACCTTTTATCCCCATGACTTATTCATTCCATAGCTGGAAGCCTGAACCTCCCACTCCCCTTTACCCCTTTTTGCCCATCTCGCCACCCACTCCCCTTTGGCAATCACCAGTTCTCTGTATTTATAGGGCTGTTTCTGCTTTTTATCTTTATTTATTTTGTTTTTTAGATTCCACACATAGGTGAAATGATATGGTATTTTTCTGTCTGACTTATTTCACTTAGCATAATACCCTCTAGGTTCATCCATGTTATTGCAAATGGCAAAATCTCATTCTTTTTATTGGCTGAGTTGTGTATATATACCACATCTTCTTTATCTGTTGTATATATATGCCACTCTTCTTTATCCATTTGGTGGATACTCAGTTGTGCATATATACCACATCTTCTTTATCCATTTGCCTATCAATGGGCACTTAGGTTGCTTCCATATCTTGGCTATTATGAATAATGCTGCAATGAACATGGGAGTGTAGATATATCTTCAATATCCTTTTTTCATCTGCGGTGGGGGGGTAAATACCCAGTAGTAGAATTACTGAATCATATGGTTTTTCTATTTTTTTTTTTAAATTTTTGAGGAGCCTCCATACTGATTTCCACAGTGGCTGCACTAATTTATATTCCCACCAACAGTGCTTTACCCTGTTGATGAGATAGATATTCTCACCCAAGGGCCATGGGATGCCAAACACACAACACCTTACATTAGACAGATGAGATTGGTAGATATTTATTAATTATATGTACTCACAGCCCAGGTTGGGGGAAGAAGACACCACACAGGGCCACCTAGAGGTTACCCTTGGGAACCTAGCAAACAACCAGGGGCCTGTAAAAGGCAAGTTTGTAGCACCATTAGGATGAGGTGCCCCCTGGTTCCCTTAGGAAGATGTGATTGGCTTGTTTGAATCATTCCACAGACTGGCAGGAAAGTGAAACCTGCTATGCAGGGGTAAGGAAGAACGATATCTGATCCATTTGATAAAGAGGGATGTTTGGCTAGAGGACCTTATGTATGGGAGCAGAGTGGGAGGGAGAGCCTTTGGGAAGGCTATTTGAGCCCTTCCCAATTTCCCCCAGATATTAAAGCAGCACATAATATTGGGCCTTAATTTTAGGACTTACACTACAGTATCTTAATGAATTTTATCTACATGGAGGGGAGACTAGAACAAGGATAAGGTTATCCTTGGTAAAGAAGCAGCAGTTACTCATTTTAGCCAAGAGAGGAGGGCATATTTAGCATTTTGGCATGTGACCTTGCCTTTGTGCTTAGGCAAAATTATGCAGTGACCTTGCTCTGTCTCATTTTATCATGGTCTCAGGGTGACCTTGTCAAGTCTGGTATAGTGTGTGATAGGAGAATAACACAGCCCAGCTCTGAGAGCGAGGCCAGCTTCTAATTGTACAGCTGCTAATATTTTTCTTTCTCATTTGGGAAGGAACTAATAGTAGTGGGGTTTTAAATTAGATGGATTGATCAGAGAAAGTTTTATGAAGGAGGGACCTCAAATCTTGGCCTTCACTGCTAATAAGAAGCCATCCACATAGAGAGGGACTGAGGAGGATGGAGACAAGGAGGGAGGGGGACAATTTGTGGAGAGCATTCTTGTCAGAGGGAAATAGCAAATGTGAAGAATGAAATACCTCATTAGACCTGAGGGATATGTTCTAAAAAGCCATTGGGAGTGTGGCTCTTTGCTTCAGTGACTCTCAAGGGGTTGGAGGTAGGGGAGAACCAGAATCTCCGGACAAGGGGAAGAAAATTTTGGAAAGCCTCCAGGGGGTTGTGAGATGACAATCCTCCAGGATGGATGGTCCCTCACTACCTCCACCATTCCCCTACAATTTTAATTTGGTTATGTAGACTTTATATGGAAAATCCAATACTAATTGTTATTATAGCATAATAACAAAATGTTAATAATAATAAACATCCTAGACAACAAAGAATAGTGGTTATAAGCATGGACCCTGGAGCCAGACTTCCTAGGTTCAAATTACAGTTTTACCACTTTCTAGCTATGTCAATATAGACAAGTTACTTAACTCATGTATCTCAGCTTCTTCAACTGTAAAATGGAGATAATAATGGCACCTCCTCAAAGGTTTGTTGTCAAGGTTAAAATATATATTTAGTTTTTAGACCTGACTCATGGTAAGCACTGTTTAAGGGCTACGTGTGTAATAATGATGGTGACAATGATTGGTAAAGGAAAAAAATCTGTAGTTAACACCATATTCCTATAGTGACAAGTTAATCATGGACTAACCAGGATTATATAAATGTCCACACATCTTATTGAGAATGGTTTATTTTATTTATTGTTATTTATGGGGCCTCCATTCTTACTGCAAGGACAACAGTATAATGGATCAGTCTTTAGCAATATCTTAAACTATGCATTTAATTTAAAATATTTTTTCCTCTCTGATATGTCTGATACATCCAGGTCTACCACAGATAAGGGTTTTAATACATTCTGTAACTGAATTTTTTGGACTTTGCCTAAAAAATGCACTAGGAGCCTCAGATCTTTAATTGAGGCAACCATATTTAGTGTCACTGAAATAAGTGTGATAACAGCTTGATCGTGCAAAGTTTGACATGAAGAAAACACCTGCCTGGTGATAATAGGATACATGAATTTCAGATAACAGAAAACCAAAGAAAATTACTACTCTGCCTGTCTTGATCAAATAACAACAGAGTTTTCTGTTCATTTCACTATATTCAAAAGTTTATTTGGATTACTATGAAATGTTAACAGAAAATCACTTGGATTATGGGCTCATGGCAGGTGAGGAGTTTTAAAATATTGCTAAGTTTTTATATGTATTAGCAGACTTATTAAGGCAAAGTAAAAGAAAAAAAGAAGAAAAGAAATATCTGTCTTGTCTAGATACTCATATAACAAACCACAGTGATCTGAGAAGGAATTTCAAGTATCTTAGTAGGCCTGGGTGTATCAGACATTAACTTAAATTTACATACATACCTTTTCTGTCAAGGTTCAGAGCCTCAATAGAAAAATGTTGAACATCTCCATCAACTGCCACTTTTTATGTTTGAGAGAAAATCTTTTGAAAAATAGAAGAAACATTACAAACAAAACTGAAAAACTATGGCTTCTTTTTCCTGTGAGCATAAGAACATTTAACCCCCAACAGGTTGAGAGCATCATTAAGTAAAAAAGATTTTTCTGTTTTGATGTCAAATTAAGCAAGATTTGTAAAACTCCAATATCATATGCACTGAACTTAGGGACCCCATTGTAGTCTGTGTTTTCTGCTTGCTTATTGTTAGTTTAACATATTTAGAGTAAACCCTCTTGTTAGACTGCTTTCTATTTCTAATGGACATGTTTGCACATAATTTAGGAAGCAATATTTTGGTTTGTTTCCTTCCTAGGTCGTTTTTTTTTCTGTTTTTTTTCTTTTTACTTAATATCTTAGCATTTATACCCAGAAGTAGTTAATATTGATGTATAGTCAACATTAAGTTGACTATAATGAGTTGGTCCAAAGAAAATACAGATAACTGAAATCTATGGTACTGCAAAAATTTAATTTGGTCCTCTACACTTAAATTTACATTGCATTGAACTATTAGCCAGACCTGCTAGCTAATAAACCAATTGAGGATAGTTTATTTTCATTTCTTTGACCCTTCCAAAGATTCATATAACTTAAGGCATATGAATAGTGCTTTACAGTTGATAAGGACTTTTACATATATCATCACTTTTGATCTTCCCAATATCCTTATGAGGAAGGGACCTTATAGAATTATGGAAGATTTTATTATTATCTTCGCTTTCCAGATTAATAAATTGGTGATCAAGCATCATACTCTTAAGTAAAAGCAGGTAATGAGCCTCAGAAAAGCTAAGTCTGGAATTTTAAGCTTTATTGAACTTATTGCCTTGCACTGAGGAAACTTCCAACCTTCTTTCCCACAATAACCCCTCTAGTGATCCTTGTGTGTATATGGCTTCCAACCTTTGAAGCTTTGTCTTTGCTTTTCTCACTCCTTGTCTGGAATGTCACTGCTTTTCTTGAATATCCAAACTGCACCCATCACTCAAGGTCCAGCAAAAGTTTGACCTGCTCCAAAAAGTCTTCCAGATCCAACTGTTCTTACTTAAAGAATACAGCATTTGCAGAAATTGGTTCTTATGTTCTTAAGTGTTTTTTTTATGTTCAGCTAAACTCTTGTACTCAACTATAAGCTCCTAAGAACAGAGACCAACTCTTATACTTCTTTGAAACTCACAGCACTCTATCACTGGATATATATATGTAGTAAATTCATCATAAATATTTGGCTATTATTCCTTACTGTCCAATGAAGCCATTACTGAGCCATAGATCATCTTACTATATCTGTATTCCAGCCATGTGACTTGTAATTTAGTTTGTATAATCACCTATTATAGTTGAGTTCAATGTAGTCATTTCAATGTGTTCATATACCAATTGACCCGTGCATTGATTTCTGATGGTAGTGAAGCTCAGGCATATGGCCTACAGAGTCAAATCCACTACACATGCCTGATGGATTCCCTGAATAGAGAGACATTTGGCCCATATATCAGTATTAAGAACAGGAACAGGAAATGTTATGCAGTGATTGCTTTTCTATAGAATTACATTAGCATCACCCATTCTGCTAGTCATAATTTCTCTGCAGTTCAGGGAGATCTATCAATGGTAGTTCCTGTCCTACCCCATAGGAAAATGCATTCCGTTATTCATTATAAATGATGCGGATCAAGCATATTGTCATTACAAATTTAATTTGTAAGAAAGAAATTTCCATGTGGAAATGACATGCTTGACAGTCATTATGTTAAAAAACAAAAAGATGGTAACATATGACAATTCAATTCTTCTGGAATGTAAGCATTCTGTTTAAACAAACAACTGCTTTTGTTCATATTTTAAGGAGAATTTGGAGAAGTCTGTAGTGGGCGTTTGAAGACACCAGGGAAAAGAGAGATCCCCGTTGCCATCAAAACTTTGAAAGGTGGCCACATGGATCGACAAAGAAGAGATTTTCTAAGAGAAGCTAGTATCATGGGTCAATTTGACCACCCAAATATCATTCGACTAGAAGGTGTTGTCACAAAAAGTAAGTACTGATTTTCTTCATTACTTCTTTTATATATCTCTATCTCAGTTCCTTAAAAAAACAAACAAAACTTTAATAGCAATATCATAGCCATTAAGAGGATAACATAGTTTGGATATCGTTTTCTGATGTCACCCCTCATAGTCTTGATATTAGGCTACGACATTATCAGAGTTTGCATTGGTCACCAAACAGCTTTGAAATGGTATTTATTACCTATAAATCATTTGCTAATTTAACTTGAAGTAATGAATCAAAAGTAAAGTATTATAGATTTTTTTCTAATCTCTATAAACTATTCACTTCTTCTAAAGCTGCTAAAATTTCAGTATTAATAGAAGAAACAGTTTAAATATTTTGGGTCATTAAGGTAAAATACTTCTGTTTGGAAAAATCTCATATACAAATAGAGATGCTTTATCTGAAGTAAGACTTTTACATCTACATAATGGAACCCATCTACATAAATGCCATTAGAATTAAATTATTTTAATTTATATAAAATGGATAAAAGAATTACAACTTCGAGAAAAAAAATCCTGTTTTTACAGAAATAGTGGGATCAAAGCCATTCCTTTGAAGTTTCTTAAAAATACAAAATTAATCTTATACTCAAATAGATTGCTATATAATCACTTTTACTTGAATAATGATAGGACACAAACCTTAACTATATTTCTCCTTATTTTATTCACTAATGAGTTATAACATATAAAACCCAACAGAGAATGGCATTGAAAAAACTCATAAAAAATAATTTAAATCTTTGAGAAGCATTTTTTCATAAAACTGAAATTTCTTTAAAACCATTTATACGAAATTGAAATTTCATGTCATATTTGAAAGCAGGAAAGTATAAAAGCCTTACAAAAAACACTAATTGACTATGTGTTCCAAAGTCCCTCTCACAAGGCATTGATCAACATGCTGCCCAAGGGGAGCAGAAGATTATTGACAGCCTCAATAGTCTGAAAGACACAAAAGAGTACTTGTGTTTTTCTTTTTATGGTTATCCATTTTTTTTCAAGTTTTTATTTAAATTCCAGTTAGTTAACATATAGTGTAATATTAGCTTCAGGAGTAGAATTTAGTGATTCATCACTTACATACAACACCCAGTGCTCATCACAAGTGCCCTCCTTAATACCCATCCCCCATCTAGCCCATCCCCCACCCACATCCCTCCATCAACCCTGTTTGTTCTCTATAGTTAAGAGTCTCTTATGGTTTGCTTCCTTCTCTCTTGATGACAGCTGTTGAACTGGTCTTTTACTTCAGTGACCTTAATGGGGCCTGCCAGTATTTATGCCCTTCTATTGTTCTCTCCATTGATTCTGGGCTTGTCCATGTGACTGGCCTTGGGTAATGGGACATTTAACACATGTGATGCACGTGGAAGCATCTTACATCTCTGCACCTTGGATCCTGTCATCTTGCAACACTCCTTCCTGTAACTCAGCCTCCAGTACTGAGCAAAGCCAGTCCATATGGTGAGGCTTCAAGCAGTATTGCAGAGAGGAGGCAAACTAGAATGTCTAGTCCACAGCTCTGTCTGAGCCCCCTGAGACAGCTTGAATGCCAGGCTTGCAATAAACCATCTCAGACATTGCAACCTCTCCCCACCACCACCACCACCACCACCACCAGATGGCTGTAGCTGCCATTGACATCTTATAGAGCAAAGGAACCACCCAGCTCAATCCAGTCAACCCATAAAGATCATGAGAGAAGATAATTTTTGACTGTTGTTTTAAGCCACAAAGTTTTGAAAAGTTAGAAATCTACTCCTGCCACTTAAGACTTGTGCAGCTTTAGGTAAATTATTTACCATCTCTATCCTTTACTTCCACATCTATAAAAATAGGGCTAATATAATTCCTACTCCATAGGAAAATACTGTAAGGATTAAATTTGTAAATGTATAAAGCATTTAGCATAGTATGTGTCATAATAAGCCACACTAAATGGTAGCCATTATTGGTGCTATGTGCCAGGCACTTTACACAAATAGTTTATCATTTCATTTTCACAGCAACTACTGTGGGTATCATTATCCACTGAAGCTCAGACAGGTTAATTAACCGGCAGAAAGACCTCTAACCCATAGTAAGTAGCATGGCAGGTGTTCAGGCTGAGGTCTTTTTGACTCTAAAACCCATGGGGTGTGTGTGTGCGTGAGTGTGTGTGTTGTTTTTTTTTTCTTTTTTCTATATCTACATGAATCAACCAGTTTTATACTTTAATTATCTTTATCCAATCTGAATTAAATAACATTAAATAAATGACAATCTGAATAAAATAATATAGTACTACTTTTTAAAATAAAGAAAATATTTAGGTTGTGAAATAAATTACTTCTAAAATGTAAAATTTGGAAAGATCCAGCTATACCACAATAGCTAGCAAAGACCTATAATTTAAAAGCGAGAGAAGAAATAACATGTTAATTATTTCATTTATATTTTCTGAATTCCTTGTCATTAATTTAGCATGAACTTTTCAAGTCATTCCTTCTGTCTTATATCTCTCTGGAAGGAAAAATGTAAGTTTAAAGTTGGGTTATGAATCTTCCCAAAGCAATTAAAATAACAACTTAAATATAATGTTGAAGTCTTCTTACATGTATTTTTGCATGTAATATCTGGAAATAAGTGTTGAACAATAAATTTAGAGGTTGAAAGGTATTAGATTTTTTTCTCCCTTGATGAATAACATTATGTGACTTTGTCATATATTCCTATGTGTTTTATTCACATATCGTCATATATTTTATATGCATATATATACATAAAAGTATATGAAAAGGAAAATGATTTATAGCCCTATGAAGTAGTAAGATTTATTTATCATAAATCAGCTGAATAGGTTTAATGAGATAGTCGGTGGCACTCGTCTGCCAGTTTGAAATACTCCGTTTATTTCACATAAACATGCAAACAGCTGACACAGTGATTTGTTTCACATCTCTGACAGTCTAGTCTCAAAAGGGGACCAGTGACCTCCACATATCGAGATTTGTATGCTCCCTAAGTCAAGGTTCTTGTTCCATTTCAAGAAAAAGAAAGAAGTGGGGGCAGCAGGGATGGAAGGAAAAGATAAAAAAAAGATCATTGAGAAAGGACAAACTCAATATGCTTTTGAGTGGCAATCATCATTACAGTTTTAACTTGTACAAGTGAGCCCCATATAAGGGTGTTGTGCCGCTGCAGAGGTGGGTGGTAGAGATGGAGAAAGGAGTAATTCACACAAAGATAAGTGGGCATATTTATACTGTTATCTTCTTGACTCCGGTGCTATGAGATTTTTAAGGCAAAGGCAATAAATAAATGAATGCCTCATTCCCATAAATACATGGTAATTGTTCCAAGATTGCCCTTAAGTATCTAAAAGATAGCTAGCAATTAATGCTCCCTAAGGACTACCATATTGCATAAAAGATAATACTGACAAAGATAAAGATGCAGGATAGGTTTATGCAGTCATGTTAGTAGAGTATCCTGGGGTTCTGAGAAATAAACACACAGACTCTCAGTTGAAAGTAATGCAAAATTATAGATCAAAATCTTCATCAGATCCTTTCATAAATTCTTAATATGCATACTTTTTATCTTATGTATACATTTTATCTCTGAGAGATACATAGTACAAAGTTCTTGGGAACACTTTTGCTCTTTCATATTCAGGCATATAACTACTTTTATTTTAAACTTTAAAGTTAAATGACAAAAAGCTGCATTATATAAAAAGTATGTGTGATAAAAGTTGAACCTACTTATTTGATACACATCACAATTTCAATAACCTGTTAAGATAAAACTGATATAAAAAGAGATTAATTGACCTAAACCATATGTTTAGCACATACTTTTTCTCCAAGAAGCAAATAGAAGCCATTAGTTAGAGAACAGACTTGTAGCCATTAGGAGCATGGATAGTAGCAATTTGTAACTGGTAAGGTTTACACCAGTGTCATTAATTACATAACCAAAAGAGAAAGTGCCACTCTTCTATAAAGAGAAGAATTATGGTTAGATAATGAAGCAATACAGTGGTGTAACCACACTCCAGAAGACCGGGCCTGGCAGTTTGAATCATGACGATAGAAGAAACAAGAGAGGACTAATGAAATTCCCATCTCCCAGCTTAGTAGCTGATAATTAAATTTAGATAGAACAGCTACATCTCTAGCAAATCATAGATCTAGAAAGGAGTAGTAGAAGCCAATCAGGATAGCAAACTCTCAAACAACTTCACTTCATTGTTCGACATCACTAACGACTCTGTGGGACACTATGGAAGCCTCAACAGGAAGTGCTGGGCCTGGCAAACCCTCTTTAAATATGCCAGAATGTTGTGGGTTCCTTCCAGACAGTTTCAGTGGGTCCACACAGGCTCTAAGTCAGAGAGCAGATTCATCAGTCAAATACATTGTACAGTAAATGCACAAGAACTGCCTCTCTGGTCCCACAATTACGTTCTACTTGTCAAGTAATACATTGTCCAAGATTTTAACTATTGCTGTTGCCACCAATATGATACCTGCCTCTCTACCAGGCTGTGTATCCTCCTGCCTGTTACAGAGTCTCGGGCAAGCCACTCAATGTCTTTAGGCCTCAATTTTTTCCCTCTGCACAAAAAGAAAAGATTGAAAAGTGCAGATTGGACTAGAAAACACATCTATCCCTAATATTTTGTGTTCTGTTCCTTTGCCAGAGGAAGAGAGTCAACAAGATGTTGGTGAGGAAAATTTCTACTGTGATAACTTATCACCCCACTTCTAACTTTTTTTTTAATAACTTCAGGTTTGTTTCAGTGATCTAAAGAGAAGATAGGTTCAGGAAGAAACAAAAAGTACCTTCAATAAAGTTTTATCTTTAACAATCTGTGAAGAGAAAAGGGTAGGTAAAATTTTTCCTGTAAGCAAAAATTTTCCTGTAAGGAACTATATGGAATACACATTGAAGGGGTAAATATTCTGCAAATCTGATTCTAATAAAATA